AGGTAGGGTCAAAGCCACACCAAAATGTGTGTCTTTAGGGCACGGGGGCAGACAACAAAGTGTATTTTCTGCCACAGATCTGAATCCATGTTATCAAGGGAATGGTCTTTCCCAGGCCAAAACTTCTCAAGATTCTTCCCAAAGTTCAAATATCTTGAAGACTTTGGATGGGTTTCCACTCATAAAATGTGGGAAGCCAGGGGAAAGACAGACCTGAGAAGTTACAGAGGGAAGGGATAATGGTGGCTCTCATCCAGATCTGTGACCATGTGGGTTGGAACAGAACCATGATTAACCAGGTCTCACTGCTAGAGAAAAGGTCAGTCCAAGGTAACTACACACTGCGGTTAACATCCCAAATTTAGGGACAATTGGAGAGATTTCAACAGCTACTTCATCCTAATTCATTAAGCAGGTTTAGCATAGCCCCTCTTGCTGGCATTTCCCAGACCATGGTTGATTCTGTTCCTTATGCTTCACACTAGATAATCCACTCTCTCAAACCCTCTTGGGTATTTCTGTATTCACTCTCCACCCAGTCTTGTGACTTTGCTTACTCTTCCCTATACCTGTAAAACCCTCCCCACACATCTTCAGCTTTCCAATCCTTCCAGGTTTCCAGGGCCTATCTGGAAGACCAGACCTTCTGCAACACTTTCCTGAGCCTCTGTCTAAAGTTATCTTGCCTGCCTGAGGGCACAATGGACAGATATATGGAAGGTGTTTGGTATGTTGAAAGCACCCAAAACATTTGCACGGTTTTATCTAAAATTGGGTTGTGAATTTCTGGTGAATCACATCAAAACTTTGGGCTTAGGATTGGGGGCAAGAAACAAAAAAAATTTCTTCTGGAAGATTTTATTTTCTATTAGAAAATGAATGCCATTTATGTATCTTTGGTAACTAAAGCCTTCACATACATAAGACTAAATCAGCTCTTCTTTCAATTATCTAATTTATTATCCAAATATGTTCTCTAAGTTTTGATTCAGAAAGTATAGTTCCTTAATGCCCCCTTTGCCTAATAGAAGTCATGAGTTACAGATGTCCATTTCACAAAGCGTAAGTCATTCTTTGAAGGAAATTACACTTGACTTAGCCTGAGCTCACACCTGGCATTCCTCAGTAGACCCCTGTGCTTCACTCTTAATACAGTACTATAGAAAAGGGTTTGAATTCATATACAGAATTCTGAAAGACATTCTATATGGAGACTGCCTCTGGGAATAAAGAGCTTGTAATTAAGCCTCTGCCTCTGAATTGTTAGCCCAGATAATTTGCAATCACTAAACCTGGGCAAGCAAATTCTCCTGTTCCCTGGGGCCACAAGGTACCTGGTCTAACCCTCTACCAGGTGCCCATTAGTTCATCCAACAAGCACGCATCAACCTCCTAGTACCCAGAACTTGTTTCCTAGAGACTTGTTCTGTTCTTTGCTTGAGGATAGCTCCTTTCTTCTCTTGATACAAACTATCACCACTCTCGGAAAAAGTGAACAGACGCCTCCTCAGAATGTTTTTTTCTCCTTTTAGTTCTCATTCTCAAGATCTGGTCTCTACAGACATCTCCTGGTTATGTTTTATAGTTCTCAGTATTTAAAAATTGCATGCCAGGGAGCCTCTAAAAAGATTCAGAATGTTTGTAGTAAAGAATACCCATATTCCTGTTCTCCTTTGGTAGCCTTTCTACCTACCCATACCAAAGATCAGCTAAAGAGAAACACTAGGCCACTGCAGTTGGTGCTGATCGCCCCTTCTAACCTATAGCACTTAATATCTGTCTTTCATTTTCCAAGTTGAATGTCCAGGATTGTCATCTACCTCACTCATACTGCATTTATCCAACCCCTTCTATGAACAAGGTACTGTTTTAGGACCCTGAGGGAGATGAAGATATGAACAAAACACAGTTCCCATCATTAACTAATTACCTCCTGGATGCCGGGTACTATGATAAGCTCTAAGATACAGTGGTTGGCAAAAACAGGCATGGCCCTTCCCCTCATGGAACTTACTAGTGAGGGAGGCAGACAGGGAGCATGTATGTTGTATTTACTACTGTGTATCACAAGGCACATAGTCGGTACCCAGTATTTATTAAGTGAAAGCAAATGACCAAATATATCATGATAAATTGTGAGGTGCTATGAATTGAGGAAAACAGGAAACAGTGATAGCATAATAGGGAAGATAGAGACAAAAGGCTGCCAGAGAATGCCTGTCTGAGGAAGTGACACACCAAGACCTGAAGGATGGGGACTAGCCAGCTATATGCTAATACTGGAGATGGGAGCATTCTAGTGGTGAGAGCAGTATGGGTAAAGTGTGTTTGGGGAGAGGGAATAGCAGGGTAAAGTCTCTGAGGTAAGAGCTCGGCATGTGTCCATAGAAAGACTACAGTGAGCCAGGGGGAAAGTGGTATATGAAGAGAGGTCACAAGAGACAAAGTACAAGTAGGCAGGGGCCTTGCAGGATACTGTAAGTAGTTTGGATTTTATTCTAAGTGTCCATGAGAAGTCATTTAAGGGCTTCAAGCAGGGGATCACGTGATCTAATTTATTACTTTTAAAAAAATCACTGTCTATAGACAACTGTAGGAACAAGAGTAGAAGGACTCCAGCTAGGAGTTATAACAACCCATGGGAGATCATGGCAGTTTGGACTAAGGTAGCTATAGTAAAAGTGAGGAGAGTCAAGACACACTTTGGCGGTAGAACTGACAGACTTGTTGACAGGCTGGATGTAGGGAGTAAAAGAAGAGGAAAATTAGGGATAACTTCCAGGTTTCTAGCTTAAGCAACTGGATGGGTGGAGGTGCCATTTTCTAAGATGAGGAAAACTGGGAGAAAGAGAACAGCCCCAGGGTGTATCACTGCTTATTTTTAATGAGGCAATGTTAAGTGTACATGTCAAGTAGGCAGCTGAATATTTGAATCTAAAGCTTTCTAATAGGGAAGACAGGACACGGATGTTTGTGATACAAGCCTTGAAAAGTTAAATGTTCACAGAGAAATTTTTTGTCTAGCTGGGTTAATCAGAGAAGTTTGCAGGAAAAAGTTGGCATTTGAGCCAAAGGAAAGATGATGACGGAAAGCATTCCAGGTAAAGGGAATGAAATTGCAAAGGTGGAGACGGGAGAAATCTTAAAGCATGCTCAGAAATTGGAAAATTGTTCAGTTTAGACGGAATGTGGCTTGTATCTGGAATGTTACTAGATGACTCTAGAAAGGGTGACTGAAGCCAGATCACAAAGGGCTTTGAGCACCATCCTAGGGAATTTGTACTATACAAGGTGGGCAATTGGGAACACACTAGCAAGTCTTTGAGCAGAGGCATGACCTGACAAAGTTGTTAAAAAACAAAATTTGGTGACACTGAGTAGGGTGGATTGAGGAAGGAGAACAGGAGGCAAGGGAGGCCATCTAAGAATTTATTTAGATAATCAAGGCATGAGGTAATAAGTTATTTAGGTAATAACCTAAATGTTGATCATGGCAATGGAAAGTTAAATGCAAATGTGGGAGACATTTTAATGGGGAATTATGATTATGTTAACCTAACAGAAAAGCCAGGAGGAGGCACCTGCTTTTTTCTTCTCAGTATCTTTTGCCTCCACACTAGATCATAACCTCTGGTAAGGCTGGGAGTTATTTTTCAATCTTTCCACAGTGGGATTTAACACTATCAACGAGATCTCATGCTAGTATGGCTTCGTAGTAAGTAGGAAACAAAGAGGTAGCTTTGGTATTGAAGTGAATGGACTCACACAGATAGTGGTACTGGAAAAAGCAGTGTGGGGTCAGGACCACAAACCAGGGAATGGGCTGAGAGTAAGCACTAGGAAAGAAGAGTTCAAATTTCCTACCTTCTTCCCTTTAAAGCCTCATTGCCTGCCCTCCTTCCTACTCCGTCCCTTCATTCAGCCAACAAACACTCACATAGGCAGAACCTTCAATGCTCTGAATTTTTTCCTCCAGCAGACTCCCATTCATCTGTGTGAAATCCCATCCGCTCACAGCCCCCATCTGATGAATAAGTCTCACTGAGAGAATGTCAGAATGTGCTACTCTTCCCTCAGTACTATTTACATTTAGACAACTGTGGCCTTGACTATCATAATCCAAATGTCTAACATGAAAATTAATCACATGGCAAGCAAGAGCTGGGGTGAGGTGGAAGGTAACGGGGCAGGGGATATCTTTCAGTACTCATTCTAATGATGAAGCCTGGATCTGGCCTCCCCTCATTCCCTGCAGTCTCACTGGGATATCTACTATGAACCCCCTTTCAAAGGAGGTAAAATTAATTTGGAAAAGTGTTCTGAAGTAACTCTGTGGGGGAGAAACAGAATGAATATCCAAGACATTTCCTCTGGACTAGCTAATCCTTTTGCCATTGCTTGATCTCACCTTCCTTTGATTGTTTCTCCTCTACTTCCTACTTTTTACTGTTGGTATATTTTTATGTGTTCATTGTTCAATGTCTTTTGAAAAGTATCCTGAACTCTTTGGAGAGTATGTGCTATGTAAACACAATAAAGAAATGAATACAATGTCTCCTTTTACAAGATAATAAGTTTTACTATTTCTGATAGTATGAGGTTTACCCCTCACTCAGCACTAGCCTGAAGAGTGAGTAGGTGTATTCTGGGGGACATCAGATAGATTCCACTCTAAAATACTTCCCTAACTACCCGAAATCCTCCCATTAATTTGATGATAAATATATTTTTTAATTTGAGCCTTATAGGTTTGTTTTTCAAGAATCCCTTAATAAAATGCAAATACCAAAGCAGGTGAACAGATCATGATGTAACCTTAGTTCCCTTTACATTAACCCACCACTTCTATCAAACACATTTTTCACATTCCAAATTTTTCCACGCCTTTGTTTATGCTTTTCTTCTTCCAGAGGTAATGCTAAATTTAATATAAATTAGAAATATAACATTACCTTATATTTTCACATAATCTCTCATTTGATATTCAAATCCAAGCCTACTTGATCTTTTTAAAAACAATTTATTTTTTCCAATGTAAGAATAACAAGTTTAATACTGAAAATCTGAAAAAGGCAGGAAGACAGGAAGAAGAAAACTATCAACCATAGTCCTACCACCTAAAGAACACTCATTGACAGTGTGGCCATGCTCATTCTTTAAGCCTTAATTTAGGTCCCATTTCTGGTGTGGTGCCTTCCTTGAACTTCCTCCCCTAGATCTTCCATGTCATATCTGTACCACTCAGTTGTACATATCATACACTTTTGTGTATAATGTGATGTATGTCTTATGTTTCCAACGAGATTGTTACATCTTCGAAGGCTGCAAACATGAGTTATACTTATTAGCTTACCCCCAAAACACCTGGTATACCGGACCCAATATCTGCTGATTGATTTAACCTAAATGAATACAAACCATTTCAGAAAAAGATATAAAATAGACCACATATCCAGGTCATGAAAATTAAAGCTTTCAGGTCACCTAGCTTGGTGACTATTGCTTTTCTATTCCTAGACTCTTTAAAGTCTATTTAAACCGGCCTCTTTCTCCACACCAAAACTGATAAGAAGGAGACTGATTATGAGCCAGGATTTACACAGAGATTCTCTATATAAGGCATAAAGGTGAGGGTGAGAGAGAGACAGAAAGAAAGACACAGATGTAGGGGAGGGAGAGAAAAGAGAAGAGACAGAAGAGAAGAGAAGGGTATACAGTCTGGTGCTCAATCCAGTATGTGATTTGCCTCCAGCACCGTGTACAGGATCCCATCCACTTGTTCTGAGTCATACCCGATCTCACGAAGCTCCAAGTGAGGGAGGACAGAAGTAAGGAGATAGCTGACGTGGATACGTAGCCGCGTAAGCTTTGCCAAAGCCCTGTATGAAGGAGTGAGGGGGCAGGAGAAGAGATGACATGGAGTCATTAACCAACAGAAAAAAATGAAGCCCCTTCAAAATGGAACCACATTTCTCAACAGTTATGTTTTCATTAGCTAGAAAGAAGAAAGCACAACACCACCAAGCACAGGGAGACTGGCTGCAGCTTTCTAAGAAGTAATTACTCAATTCTTGGTGGCCTGTGAATTAAGGCTTCCTCCTTTGTCTATGGCCAATAACAGGGGGTCCTGAGGGATGCTTCCCATTAGCACTCACAAGCTGATAACTAAACCCTAGTAATTAACCTTTCTAGGTCATCTCCCTCTGGGGTCCGGTAGGAGACCTGAGCCTTCTGCAGCATTTCCAGGTGTGTCTCTGCTTCCTTCAATTTCTCTTTTAACTCTTCCTTTTCCTCTTTGGTTCTTTCCAGCTCAGCTTTCAGAATCTGGAATTCAGCTTGGCGATAACCCATGTGTTTCTTGCTCCAGTACAAGCCTTCCGCCTCCTGGGTACTGTAGATCACCAATTCATGTTGGACTTTCTTGAATTCAGACTGCCAGTGATTCCTCTCCTGTTCCAGCTCCTCCACCTGCAGTCCAAGAAACAGAAATTCAATGACCCCACAAAAAAACATGCCCAAAACCATTCCTCATATGGTCATCCTGTGATTCCACTATACATATTCCTCTACTTAGGGACCTTTTCAATACCCTAAAATGGGCAGGAAGCCTACTACAGTTACTCTATCTGAAACACCACAGAATAGTTCAAGGGCGTATTTTGTTTAAAGGCCTCAGAACATTAAATAATCAGGGCACCAACATCCCGGTCTCTTGGTTACAATGGTCTCTTATTCCTAGTGGTGAGGTATTACCCTAACCTTTTGCTGGAACAAATTCCTTTCAGCCAAAACACGTTCCAATTTTTCTGTGGTTCTCTTCAATTCTTCCAGCTCTCTCTGGTTCTTCATCTTTGGTGTATTACGACCTTCATTCTCCTCATAGCCTCTTCCTTTCTCCCCAATGGCTGCAGCAGGGATTGCAGCAGAGGCCACAGAATAAGGCACTGGGTTCCAGGATTCAACTGCTTTTCGTCTCTCAGCAAGCTCCTCTCTGTTAAAAGGGATCAGCTGAATGGGAGCTCCTGAATCTCTAACACCTTTGGCAACACCAACAACAGCTACAAAAGGTCCCTTGTTCACTTCCTCTTTGTTTATGCTTGTGCTACTTCTGTTAGATTCTTCTGCCACCAATCTTGGCATCTGATCTTCTAATTCTTCAGGAAGCAGGGACCCCTGGCGTTGGTCTTTGGTCCCTGGATACAGAATTGAAACCTCCCTATTCTGACCTGTATTCTTGCTTGCTTCTGGATATTCTGGGAAAAGGTATGGTGGTGTACTTCTCTCAGAACTCGATTTATCATGGCTGTTCTCCCCTTCTGGGTAGGCAACAGGTGCCTCTACCCTCCTGTAAGGAGCAGGCATGGAATAATCTAGAGAAGGTGTTGTCATCTCATTCTGGAGCCTTCTTCGTTTCTCTACTGGTTCTTCACCTAGGATCCATTTGTACTTACTGCAAGGAGAGGAAATTAAATTGTAAGCTGTCACAGTACAAGTTAAGTATTTTCTGATCCTATGGAGCCCCAACTCAAACTTCCCATATTCAGACCGGCTCTAGATGTTACCCACAGACAAGTTCAGGTTAGGGACACAACTTTACCCACAAGCCTCAACCCTTTCACCAGTGCAATTGGTATTAAGGGAGAGGTGAAGTTGAAAGATGTGAATGGGCAGCATCTGGGTATAATAGGACTAGGTTGACCTTGGTAAGAGTTCTAAAAATAAGATTGCGACCAGCCTGACTTAGAAGTATCCTAAAGATGCAAGTCTAGAAGGAAGACAAAAAACACATACCCCAAATCCCCTAACACAAGAATGGAATAAAAAGGCCATAAAAAGCCTAGAGGAGTATGCAGAGAACAGTGCCAACTCATTAATTTTACAGCGTCACAAATGCCTTCCAGTATCAAATACTTATGTACATTTTTTTTTATATTGCAGCAGAACCACACAATTCTTTCACCAGCCCACTGGATTGTGGCTAATGCCCCCAGTTCACTTGTAAAAGTTAACTGAATCACAGGGGCCTATTCAGAAACAAAGAAAGTGAATCAGCCAATTCAAGTCATTTCCCCCTTGTAACAAAGAATTCCCGTGCTCAAGCACAAGCAGACACTCCCTGAGTTCTGCAGGAAAGCCCATGATGATGGCCTTAAGTCACCTTCCATTTCTGGCTGCTGTATGCACTAGGGGTTGAAGAGCTAATGAAACAACTGGCACCAGAGAAATCCATTGGCAATTTTTAATCGTGCAGCAGGGTGGGAACCCCATTTTTATCCTTACAACTATTCTGCCCTCTCTCTGGATAACCAAGACATTTCAAGATAAAATCAACTTTCAAATTTTCAATGAGAAAGCATCAGACATATGATTTGCCACCTCATACTACCTCAAGGCTGCCCATATTTCTCTGTATTTTCTGAGAACACCTGTAAGACAAACCAAACTGTAGCTTCTTATAATGCCCATATGTTCTTCAGAAATACAACTGATCTGCCATCTTAACAGATCTTGTTGTGTTAGCCTTAGGTAAAAGCAAAAGGACTTAGGACCTATGTAAGAACAACTGTATCCATCTTTGAAGATGTATAAGGACTACTAGTGATGGCCCATTCAGCTGTGTTACTGAAGAAGACAGCAAACAATCGGTTGGCAGGTATAAAGGAAAAGTATATAATACTAAATAGCAACAACCAAGCCCTGTGAAAAGCAATTACAGTCATATTATTTGCCTTCTCTTCGTTTTCCCACCTCTAAGGGTTCTGTCCTTAACTATCTTCTCTTCTGACCCTGTGTTTCTTCTCCTTCATAATCTTATACAACCTCTTGGCTATAACCTCTGGGCAACAACTCCCATATTCTCCCAAACCCTGACCCCCAGTACTGAATTTCCAACTGCCTGTCACATATTTCTTCCTGGACTCCCACTGATATCTCAAACTCAGTATGTATAAAACCAACCTTTCATTTTTCACCTTCAAACCTGCTCCTTTTCCCTATGTTTCCTATTTGTGTTACAACAGCACCAAACTGTCAGTAATATTTATACAGTAGTTTTACATATTATCAATACTCAAGTTCAAGCTCCCTCTACCTTTCCTGGACTACTGCAATGGCTTCCTCCTATCTCCAGTCTCCCCTTCTCTTACCTCCAGATCACTGTCCCAAGCTAATCTTCCTAAAGCATTGCTCTGATCATGCTACTCTTCTATTCAAAATCTTTATTTATTGCTCCCCACAACATAAAAGCTTAAATGTCTTAGCTCAGTATTGAAGCTTTTCCATGCCCAAACATAGTAAACATTGAGCACTTACTCTGTACCAGATCATGTAAGAAGTGCTTAACATGTATTGCTTCATCTAATTCTTCCAATAAACATAGGGATTATTATCTCCATTGTTTTAAGGGGATGCTCAGGAAGAAGTAAAGTAACTTTCCCAAGATGGCTAGTAAGTATCAGAGCTGGGACATAATTTGGCCCTAGCTTTATCTCTCATTACTCCCTTCACAAACATCAGTCAAACTGGATGCCCTGTAATTCCTCATGCTGCTCCTTTTGACTGGAGTGCCCTTCTTCTACCCAACACTGCATGTGTAAATCCATCTCAAATGCTACTTCCGAATTCCTATAGCACTTCAAACACTCTTATTAAAATGCATCACTTACTACTGTGTGTGTGTGTGTGTCTCCTAGTATAAGTTCCTACACAGAAGGGAGCTTAATTAACCATGCTAGATGGGGAGGAGGGAACAAAACTTTCACATAAGAGGCAACCAAAAAAAGAACTATTATGTGAATGAGGGAAAATAACTAGATTTTACTTATTGGTGCTATACTTCTCCAGAAAGTCTGGCAAGTCCTTTTAGGAATCAATTCTCATACCAGACTTGTATTCACTCATTGAGTAGAGATTAATTATGGGTTTTATATACTAGAAATTCTCCAACTACACAGTTCCCTCTTATTTCCTTTCTGCTCTTTGTCACATTCCTCCATTGTCTGTCAATTTATGGTGCATTTTTGGTTTTCTCCTTTAAGTATTTTACATTTTCTGACATACACCATGTTTCTGCTCCTTCAAAATGCTTTCTGAGAGGCTTCTATAATTAACCACTATCAGTTTTTGTATTCTTTCATTAACCAAGACAGAGAATGATATATTCAAATTAATATATTTCATTTTTTACTCACTCATTTCATAAATGTTTCCTACTATGTTTAAGGAATAGGCAAGAATAAGGACCAAAAATCACAGCCCGTAATAGTGTATATATACTCCTTCCAGATGATGTATTTTTCAACATCTTTACTGGGACAGAAATATATAAATTCATTTAAGGTGTACAATTCAACAATTTTAGTATTCTCACAGAGTTGTGTAACCATCACCACAATCTAAGTTGTGAAAATATGCACCACCCCGCAAGAAACCTCCTACACATCAGCAGTTACTCCCCATACCCCCACTGGGCCACTACTCTACTTTCTGTCTCTGTAGATTTGCCTATTCTAGGCATTTAATATAAATGGAATAATACAACATATGGTCTTTTTAAAACTTGCTTCTTTCACCTAAATGGAATAAAACATATAGTCTTTTTTTAACTTGCTTCTTTCATTTAACATAATGTTTTCAAGTTTCATCCATGTTGCAGCACATAATCAGTATTTCATTCCTTTTCCTAGCTAAATAATAGTCCATTGTATGAATAGGCCACATTTTATATCCATTCATCACTTGATGGTTATTTAAATTGCATCCACTTTTTGGCTACCATGAATGATGCTGCTATTAAAACATTAATATACAAGTTTTTGTAAAGATACATGTTTTCAGTTTTCTTGGGTAAAAACTTAAGGGTGGCATTACTGAGTCATACAGCATTCTGTTTAACATTTTGTGAAACTACTGGAATGTCTTCCAAAGCAGCTGCAACATTTTGCATTTATACCAGCAAGTGATCCTCCCACCTCAGTCTTCCAAGTAGCTGGAAGTACAGACATATACGCCCAGCTAATTTTTGTATTTTCTGTAGAGACATGGTCTTCCTATGTTGCCCAGGCTGCTCTTGAGCTGCTAGGCTCAAATGATTCTCCCACCTCGGCCTCCCGAAGTGCTGGGATTACAGGCATGAGCCACCATGCCCAGTCTCTTTCTTCAACTGCAATATGAGCATCTAAAAATACAATTTTCCCTCTGAGTATTTCTTTAGCTTCAACCCATACTTTTCATATATTTTGTTTTAATTTTCATCTTTCCAATATATTTTTACATTTTCAATGTGATTTTTTTCTTTTACCCATTTGTCATTTTGGAAATTAAGACATGTGTCATTTAATTTCCATATATTTGTGCATTTTCCAAATTTCCTTAGGTTGTTGATTTCTAATTTAATTATATTGTGATTGGAGAACATCCTTTGTATAATTATCAATCCTTTTAAAAGATTCACTGAGGTTTGTTTTACAACCTAACATACAGTCTGTCTATCCTGGAGAATATTTCATGTGCATTTGAGAAGAATACATACTATGTTGTTGTTGGGTGAAGTTTTCTGTATATATGTCAGGTCTGGTTGGTTCAGAATGTTCTTCAAGTCTTCTATTTTCTTGTTGATCTTCTTCCTAGTTGTTGTATCCATTATCGAAAGTAGGGCATTAAAGTCTCCAACTATTATTGTTAAATTGTCTATTTCTCTCTACATTTTTGCTTTGTGTATTTCTGGGGCTGTGTAGTTAGGTCCATATGTGAGTGTAGTTACTACATCTTCCTGATGGACTTTATCGTCAATGAAATGTCCCTCTTTATACCCATTAACATTTTTTATTCAAAAGTCTATTTTGTCTGATATTAGTATAACCAGGTTTGCATGTTGAATCTTTTCTATCCTTTTACTTTCAACCTATCTGTATCTTTGCATCTAAAGTGTGTTTCCTGTAAATAGTATATTTGCATTTTTAAAAATATATAATCTGAGGCTGGGCGTGGTGGCTCATGTCTGTAATCCCAGGACTTTGGGAGGCCGAGG